AAAAAATTTAAACGGAAAAATATTTTAAAACTATATCGTTTTAATAAAATATTATGAGAAAAGATTTAAACATCTTCATCTCTAGTTTAAAAATAATTATGATATTTTAGTCTTTTTCAATATAACTTTATTAAAACAACATAATTTTAAAATATTTTTCAATTTAATTTTTTACAATAAAAGTTGATACCCATTGTTTTTGGTAAAAATAAAACAATTTTTAATTCCAAAACAATTGAAAAAAGTTACTAAATATGACATAAACAAGACCTTTTTCCGTTCGTGCCTTATAATGAGCTATATAATTGGTGAATGGTTCTCCTTTTTTCAAACTCATCACTTATTTTAAGATTCCAAGTTAAAACCTCTAATAAGTAGACTTGTTCTTAATTACGGAACCTCTCTTAGATAATGGTATCGTTAATACTATATTAGTTATATATAAAATGTACAATAGTGAATCCTAACTGGTGTTTGTTATATGGTATAAGATTCAGCTATTTGAATCAAGTTGATGAGTAAGTTTTTACCCAAAAAAAACTTCAAGTCAATGTTCATCATAGTGCATTTTAATTCAAACATACATTCGACTTTTATTAAACTATACACACTTTCTTGCATAATCAGAAAGCACAAAAATTAAAGAGAATTGTTTGATTTAACAGAAAGAAAATGAGAGCGCCAGACTATGATTATGAATTGATGATCAAGGAAGAACCAATGCAAAACATATGCTATCAGATGAGAGGGCTTTTTGATTGCAAGGATAGACTTCCCCATTCTCCCTCACTTAAAAATTTGAATTTAATAATTTAAACCATAAAAAAGTAAACTCATAAACAAATTAAAATCACTTGCCCATTTCAGTTTGTTAAAAAAAGAAGAAGGAAGAATAAGAGTCTCTTATTCCATAATTTAGACTATAGTTTAGACTACAAAAAAGAGTTAATAAATGAAGGAATAGGCTCCATCTAAAAATTAATTTATTGTTGTCTTATACAACTTGAATTGCACTAAACAATTATGAAAGAATAAGCTTGTTTTATAATTTTTTCAGAGAGATTGGGATGTTCATGTGCTGATTGCCTCCAAGCACAACCACCCACTGATCTCACATCATGCATGATGCAATAGCACTGTCAGCTTCCGTAACAAAATAAATAATAAAATTAGTTTAATACACAATATCTTCTATCCAAAAAGAAGAAGAAGAAGCAAGAAATCATGCAATATCCTAGCTAGTAATAAGTTACCCCCAAAAATGCGATATCCTGTCTCCATCTCTTGGCTTGGACTTCACAATAGAATCCAATAACTTGAAGATGTACACATACCTAATTAACTAATTATTTACTCAACACCATCTAAAAAGTTATGATTTAATTAGTAATAGGGTTTATTTCTCATTTTGTTTATTAAAGTTTGATTTTTTAAAAAGGCTAATGAAGAGGTAATTCTTCATAACTTCTTTTGTTTCAGTATATATAGTATGCTTTTAATTGGCTTAGAGAGAAATTAATTCCAAAATACGCATAAACTGATTTAGAAATATTTCACCACTAAACCAAAAAATGTATATACATATATTAGGGGTGACAATTTATCCTGATTATCATGGGGCCCTGTGGAGATTCTCACCACGCGGACGGGATAAGAAAGAATATTTTTTCCCATAGGCAGGGATGGTGGCATTTTTCCCCATGAAATTTCATAAGGGAATTTTTTCAGTTCCGTGAGATCTCATGGGGATCCCATCCTTGCAAAAAAAAAAATTAAAGAATATATAAATTAATTTTATTTTAAATTTAATTCAACCTTTAAACTCAAAGCTAATTCAATAAAAGTTAAATTTAACCCAATTTTACCCAAGCCATAAAAATTAACCCAACTCATTATTAACCATTTAACCCTAACCTTACTCATTTATATCGGTCTCACCTTGCTCTCCCCTTCTGCTATCAACACTTTTTAAGAATCTCAAACCTTCATTGCCGTCCTTCTGAGTTCTGCCCTTCTCACCCTTCTACCCTCATTTTCACTCATTTCTCCATTGTTGCTACTGATCTTGTTGGAGCTACTGCTAGAGCTGGACTACATATTGCTGGAGCTGTTATTGGACTGTTGGACTGCTATAGGTTTTTTGATGAGCAAATGTGGATTTTGAGAGTTAAGGTGTTTTGAGTTTGCTGTCTTCCTTCATGTTAGAATTTGGATGTTGGTTTAGTTATTGATTTTATGTTGGATTGATTTTTGCTTATATTTGGAACAACTATGTTGGATTAATTATTTATGTCAGATTAATCTTTATTTATGTTTAAAACAAATTTGTTAGTTTAGTTATTTATGTTGAATTGATCTTTATTTATATTTAAATAATTTATATTTGATTTTATATTTA